GTCCCCCTTATTTGCTATGGTCAACCTCCCAGGAGATGCTCAGATTTCTGGTTCCCATTTGCTAATGGGGGGAGAGGAGGGGACAGGGGAAGTGGGAAATTTGACTCTAGGCCATGTAGCAGTAGGTTCACTATTGCTTAGCAGAGAGACAGGATGGTCATTTGTTTTCACAGCATCCTCAGTTCCAACATGGCGTGGATCTCAGGAGACACTGCTAGTTCTCTCCCTGGAAGGGCTGCAGTCGGCCACCCTGCCTCTGCTTACCAGGGAGGGCAGGTGCTGGCTTGAGAGCTAACAGTTTTGCCACTTATCTCCATTTCTACTTCTCGGCCTAGGGCTACATATGTTGCAGACTTAGGAGGGCTCTTCACGTTAAGGAATACATGAATAATTTATCCTGTACCTCCTGTATCCCCATTCTTGTACCTTTGCTTTTTCAACTATAATAACCTATCTTCCAACTGATAAACCATCTACTCGTAGCAATATTTGCTGTCATAATTGTTCTTTGTGTGTGTGTGTGTGTGTGTGTGTGTGTGTGTCTTTTTCTTTTTTATCGGTACCGGGGATTGAACTCACGACTGCCTGCTTGCAAGGCAGGTGCTTATGCCGCTAAGCTAAATCCCCAGCCCCTGTCATAATTGTTCTTAACTTCACTTTTCATTTGTGTGAATGTATTTTGAAACCCCAACATTTTTACTTCAATTTTCAACTTTACTTCCCCCAAACTACCCTTTCATACTACTTTTTTAAATTGCCCCAGAATATAATTATATAAGTTAAATCCAAAAACTCGGCTCATGTGACTTGAGAATACAGTTCAGTAACTTATTTACTTATCCATCCAGTATTTGCAGTATATACTAATCTTATAATCTAGTTGGGGATGAAGGCCTGTCTGGTCAAATATTTCTCCCTGATGCAATAATATTCAGTCCCCTCCTTGACAAGTACTATAAAAAATTGTGTATCCTTGGACAATATGAGCTGTATTTCTGAAGACTTCTGTGACAAACCTGTTAAGGAAATCTGAGAAACCGAAAGTTGTTCTGGTACCTCAAGTCACTTATTTTCTGTTTACATAACCCTTGCTAAGGAAACCAAATCAATAAATTTAAGAGTAAACGATGCCTTACAGATTATCTCAAACTCTAAGTTATGATTCTTAAAGCTGGTTGCACACTGGAATCATCAACTTTTATATAATGATATTCAAAGAACCAAATTTCAAAGGCAGTAACACAGCTAAGCTTAATACTACATGTGTGTACATGCACATGATATGGATATATGTATAAATAAACATGCTAAAAATAGATATGAATGGGAAAGACAAATACCCAAACCAACACATCATTGCGCTTTGGGAAATGGGAAAACATACACACATGGAATTTCAATGTATTGATAGTATTTTTCTCTTAAATCTAGGTGATGATTTCATGAGTATGTAAGTTACTTATTAAATTAGTCCCCACTGCCTTTTGGAGGTTTAAAACTTTGTAAAACAAAAAATAGCACATAATCAGATGAGTATCGTACTAGAAATACAAAAAAAGTTTCAGATTAAAAGTACAGCACTTGGCAGCGGGTAGTGCACACCTGTAATTCCAGCACTTGGGAGGCAAGAAGTGGAGTAAAAGGCTCATCTAGGCGACACAGTGAGTCCAAGGCCAGCTGGAACTGCACAGCAAGATGATGGTAACTACCTAGAATATCAGCAGCACTCATGAAGCTGAGGTAGGATTGTCAAAGAGTTTAAGGACTCTTAAGCCTGGGCTGCCTAATGATTTCAAGGCCAATTTGAACTACACTGTGAGACCCTGTCTCAAAAAACAAACAAACAAAAAAGATACTTTATGAAACTGGCCTTGAAGGAAGAATAAAACAGATTATAGTCAAAAATAATATAAACCTTTCTAAAGGAAAAGTATGAAAAAAAAACAAAGTTGGGAGTACCCACAGCCTACAACTTAAATAAAGAACAACATTGAAGTTGTATCAGGACAGAGTAACTTAGAAGAACATTTAACAGAAGGCTGAGGGGTTACCACTGAGATAAGTGAGGGAGGGCCTCAAATACTAAGTAGAAAAGTACATTTCCAACTCCCAGAGCCCTCCTAAAAAAAGAGCAACACAGTTTAAGGGATGTATTAGTGAAATAAAATCAGAAGCCACATGCAGGAAAAACTAAAGCTAACTGTTCCATAGGTTTTGTAGGACAACAAAGGAGAAGGAACAAAAGACCGACGACAATCAGGTCCTGGGGCCCTACCCCCACTCCAACTAAAGCCCTTCTGCTATTTATCCTGTTAAACTATTTTTGAAAACCATTGGACTAAAGTGTCCAATTAGAAGGCACTGCTTCAATTCAAGCAATGTTAAACATCGTAATACCCTGGAATGGAGTAATCTTGGGAATTAAAAAGGGAGGAAAAATGAATCCACAGACTTTTTAATGGAAAATTTGGTAGTAGGTAGTAAAAACTAGACAGTGTAATAAAATTATAGTCCTACACATGAAAAAATTTAAAATGTCAATTAAGCAGAGCTGCTGGTCATAGTCTTGAACATCAGCAACACACATCTGACAGTATGTCTGAACATGAAGGAAGTGCACCTCAAGGTAGAAGAGCTAACTGATATTCTTACAGAGACTCAGAAGCATATATGCAAAGAGGACAAAAAACTGTAGGAAAAAAACAGTATACTATGGAACACTAAGAAAGTAAGTTTCAAAAAGGCATCACTATACATAAAAGAATACACACCCTTTGAGGCCAATTAGGACTAAGATTTCTGGTACCTTCTCCACTTGACCAAGTCATTTAATCTCTGTGAACCTCATTTAATAAGGAAAATACAAATTACCAAATAGTATTGAATACATTATGAGTACTCTGCTAAGTGCTTTACATATGACTTCATTTAATCCCCACAATCATTTTGCAAACAATGAAATTTTAATTTAGAATAGTAGAGTAAAACCAGTAGAGCAAAACCAGAATTACTATTTCCTAAAATGATTATATATATGGTGACACACCACATAACAATGTTTCAGTCAATGATATATGATAGTGTGGAAAATTACACTGAAAAGTGACACTGTCATCTTCTAGCTTTATGTAAGTACACTATGGTATTTGCAAAATAAAATCACCTAACAACCAGTTTCTCAATACATCTCATTACTAAATGATGTGTTACTGTATAAATCTCTTGGCAAACAATACGCCCTTGAAACTGGTAGCTATATTTTATTATTAAAAGGTAACGATCAAAAAAGCAACATAAAAAGCTTACAATCAATAACTTGGGTCATGGCCTTCTATGCAGCAAATTTAGTGTCCTCATCTACAGGATTACTATCTCTATAGTAACTTCTCTATAGGGTTCTTGTAAGGATTAAACACTATAAATATGAAAATGCTACAAAAATTTTCTAAAGAAATACTCAAATATGTGGGATTAACACCACGTATCTTTTGCTCTTTGGAAATTATTTCCTAAACCGGGATGCACACCAGTAGAACAGCTACTTAGGGGAGCTAAAGCAGGAGGACAGCTTGAGCCCTAGAGTTCAAGACCAGCTTGGGCAACATAGGAAGACTCTCTAGGGGCAAAGAAAAAGACTAAATAAGTAATGCCTTTCTGTATCAGTATAAGTCTCTAAGAGAGTCAAAAGTAAGTATTAAATGCACAAGTCCCTACCACTTTGAAAAGTACAAATCACCATGGAATTACTAATCACACCTTCCCTTGACTCAAGTTTGTCAAATATCTTGCAAAGGCAGGGATTCTCTTACATCTATAATGAAACTGGTAACACCTACAAAGTTAGCTAATAGCATTACCTTGTAAGTGCTCCCTTGCAATTTTTCCAAAGTGCAAAGAAAAAAAAAAGTTCTTGACTTTCTTCTATAGTAGGTACTAGAAGAGAGACACCTTACAAAATGCTTAAAAAGATCTGTAAGTTGACTTGCTTCCAGAGTTGACTTTTGGAAATCTCCACAAGACCTCCTTTTTTTTCACCTGAACAGATGGTTTCCAGGCCTCAAGGCTCACATATCTAGTCAAACAATTCACAATAGGTCCCAAAGTCCCTACCTTTTTAACTATTCCAAATTCTTGAATACACCTTTCATCTAGATATCAAACCACATGAACTCTTCAATCTTCACAACAGCACTGTCTGAGAGGGATTAGTGCCCTTAATTTCACAAATTAAAAATGCAAGACTGAAGTTAAATGTTTTATCCAGCATCGAACAATTACTTGATTCCTTCTTTGGGGGGAAAGGAATACACATTATGAAATTACACCAACAGACAACAATCATTTAGCTTCCTAACAAAGCTGCAAATATTAGTTCAAACACATATACTTTATATGCATGCATTTCCACTATATCAACGACTAAATATAAACTAACAATAAATGCATACTAAAGCATCACTATTTTTACATGCAAAACTGCTTGGGGGAGGGGTTCTAATTTAAGTCTCCCACTGTCTCGGGTCTATAAATTCCTTTCAACTTGAGGGGAGAAGCAGAGGAACACCTGTCAGAGCAGCATAGCTTCAGCAAGTTTCACGCTGTGTAGCTATTAATACGTAATTCCTTAAAACGTAAATAACCCGCTTTTCTCCAAAATGAAGGGAGAGGCAATATTATTAAGAACACTAGACAAGAATGCCCAGAAGGCTGTAAGAAGACCATGTCCTCCTTTTAGGCCTCCGGCCTCGCGAACTTGCACGAGGGCACCTCCCGGGCCGCGGAGCCGGCGCGCCCACCCTGCTCCCCCCTCGCCAGGCCCCGCCGGCCGCAGAGGCGACGCTCCGATAGCAGGCCCGGCCTCGACGAGCCCCGGAGCTCCTCCCGACCCTCGGCGTGGCCCGCAGGCGGGGACCGGGTCTCGGGAGGGCTGGCCCGGCCTAGCCGCCCCGCCCGCGGCCGCCCTCGCCCGTCGCTTCGCTTCCCGGCTCCCGCGCTCTCACCTCCTAGGCGCCGGCGGTGGCTCCATGGCGGTCCGGAGCAGAAGCAGGGACTGGGTGGACCCTGAAGGCCAGAGGGAGGAAAGGAGCCGGGGCACCGGCCAGCCGAGGCCGGGTAACCACAAGGGGAAACTCCGGGAACTCGGACCAACTTTCCCGTAACTCCGCGGCGGATCTCCCTCCCGCTCCCGAGTGCGGCTCCTCCGCTCCGCCCCGCCCCCTCAGCCGTCGGCCCGGGCCGGGAGAGGGGGAGCCGGACCAGGCGCCGCGGCGGGGGCGGGGCCAGGCCTGGGAGGACAGGGCCGGACGGGAGGGAGGAGCCGGGCCTGGCGGATGGGCGGGGCCAATCGACAAGGGCGGGGCCGCGCTGGGGGCAGAGACTGGGCAAACTCTGGAGAGGGGCGGAGGACTGGGAGTGTAGGAGAGCCAAAGGAGGTCAGACCTGCACCCAAAGCAGCGCAGGCGGAGGACAGGCACTGGCCTGGGCTCTATTCCTCACTTGCCTTCGCTGCGTTTGCAGCAGTCTAATTTGACACATTTCTAATTTGATTTCTGTAGATGCTATGCATCTTCTGAAGCCATTTGAAGTGTAACTAGCTGCCCATGCTTCCCTCTTTAGTTCTGTTTACAGTTACTGAGTAGGGTTGCCCCCAACCACAGGACAATTGTAGCCCTTCTGGAAATTCTTGTTCGATTTTGATTGTGTACAAGTGCCTCATTACATTTCACAATAATTACATCTAATTACAGAGAAAATACTGCAGTGTGGGGTAGGGTAAAAAATACAAGAGAGGGAGAAAGGAGGCAAGAAAATTGCAACTAAAAAACTGTAATTTTAGGAAAACCAAAACTTCCAGGGACCCGGCTGAAGTCACCCAAGGCGATCCATATCAACATTCTTTTAATTAAAAGTAGATTCCTTTCTTTCCAGACCATCACACCCAAGGAGAGATTTAACAGTATCTGTAACTCCAGTAGGATCATTTAACTAGACTACGTTATCTCATTAAACCTTAAAACTACTTTGTGAGTAGTTATGTCCCTTTTGTAGATAAGGAAACTACAGTTCAGAAGAGTGAGGTGAATTACTTGCTTGAGGTCAAAAAGAAAGTCTGCACTCCAACCCGGGCTTTTATGACTCCAAAGCCAGCCTTCACTCCAAAGTCAATCAACAAATATTTACCAGACACCTAAGTGTGCCAGGTACTGTTCTGGCTGCAAGGGATTTTTATCAGTGAAGAAAATATATATAAATTCCTGCCCTTATTAGATTTAATAGACAAATAGACAAAAATTTCTGCATTCACTTTAATTGGAGAAACTTAACAGTGTCTGTATTAATCAGTCTTTGTATTGCTGGAATGAAATATTTAAAGTAGAGGTTGATCTGGCTCATGGTTTCAGAAGGTTCAATTCGTGGTCAGCTCACGCCAAGGCAGAAATATCATGGTGGAACGGCTTAGCAAAGACTAACTGCTGAAGAAGCGGTCAGGGACAAGATACACTCTTCCAGATCATGCCCCCAATGACTCATTTCCTCCAGCTAGCTCTCATCACAATCAATTATGAACTCATCAATGGATCAATCTACTGATAAATATAGCACCTGCATGATCCAGTCATCTTCTGAAAGCCCCATTTCTGAGCACATACGATTGGGGAGGACATTTTAGATCTAAAATGTAACAATCCCCTATCTGTAATGTTAGAAAGTAAAAACTGGTACAGAAGAAAAATTGATGAAGAAAGGAAATATAAAGTGAAGGGGAAAGGATGAAATTTAGAAAGGAGAACAAGGGAATTCCTCCATGAGAGGTGGCTGAGGAAGAGGGTAAGAGACTTGTGCAGATGGCTAAAGGAACAGAATTTGAGGTCAAGGAAATGGTGTCAGGCCTGGAGGCAGGAGTGTGCCTGTATAATGGCAATAGATAAACACTGTTTTCCTCGCAAAAAAATAAATAAATAAATAAATAAAATGCTTGGAGAGCTTCTGTTTTAATTTGTCTATGGAAAGCCAACCTAAAGGGTCCAAGAAGAAGACCATAGAAATCATCATTCAACTTGCTAATAAGAGATAGCAACATTCATGAACAAATAGAAGCCATAGAAAAACTTGAGATACAGGTAAGGGTCACTCAGCCTCACTTAATTGTGAAATAAGATAATCTATTGCTGTCCTATTTATTCCAGTTGGAATCAACATAAGGGATGCATTTTAATTATACTAGCAAAGAGTTGGTTAGAATTTTCACTTGAGTGCTGTTTTAGATATTTGCATCGCTGTAACACACACTGAGATAAGGATCTTATAAAGAGAAGAAGTTTATTTTGACTCACCATTTTGGAGTGTCAGTCCATGGCAAATTGGCCCTCTTGCCTTTGGCAAGGGTCTACACATCATGCAGGACCACATGGTGGGAAAAAATGCCTATCTCATGACCAGAAAGTGAAAGAAAGAGAAAGAAAGGAAGAAAGAAAGAAAGAAAGAAAGAGCCAAGATCTTACAGTCCTTTTCAAGGACACAGCCCCACATTGGCTAAGACCTCCCTCAGCCTCCACTTCTCTCAAAGTTCCACTACCTCCTGGTAGTGCTACAGCCTTTGTCACTTGGAGTTTTAGGGAACATTCATAGAGCAAGGGCTGTATGAAACATGTCAGAAAAATCTCCAGGTTGAGACCTAGTTCCTTCAAAAAGAAAAAACACATTCTTTGTATCTGAAATGCATATCCCACGAAGTTTGGCAGGAGAGAGTAGAAAAGTTAAGATTCTAAATAATTTCCTTGTTATACTAGTTGCCACTATTCATTGAAATGAGAACTTTAATTTCTCTTCTTTTTTGAAAAATAACATTGATTAACAGTGATGAATCATTGTCTACGATATCAAACAGTTTAGGCAGAAAGAATGCTCTGATCAAATGTATTACATTATGTCATTTTTTATTTGCAGGGAAATTTGTAAATGTTTCCTTTTGGGAGGCAACTTTACTCACCATTTTCTCTTAATATGCTTTCTCTTTTCCAACTGTTTTCTAACATACTGCATTTGAATTCAACAGTTATCCTCTTTTATCATAGCAATCTTAAACATTTATTTCCTTTCTGATCATCTTTGAATCTCTTGAGAACAAGACAGTATCTTATTCATATTGATCATCCCAAAAGTCTAGCATATCAGTTAAGTATAAGCAACAACTCAAAATAATTTTTAAAACAAGAAACCTAGAAATAGGTATGTTAGCTTAAACAACTCTTCCATTTACGTTTATTTTGCTCTGCACAGCTGAGTCTTCCCAAGCTATCTTCCTCTTTTGCAAGGTCCAAAGTGGACACTGATGTTTAGGCATCATGTGAAAACATGACAATAACCAGACAACAGAGAATTCTTTCTTTCTGAATTCCATTTTAAAAATGGTAGAAAATCTACCCTAAAATCTTCTTGCAAACGTCCTGTCACACCCTATAGGCCAGAAGTATGTTGCACTCATTGCTAGCAAAGAAAGAAGATCACCAAAATTTGTTTAGCCCAATTATGATTCATCTGATGGAACCGAGCTTGGAGCAAAGATACACACTGGGCTTCTCTGATGCCGTGGCAAGGTGACGCATACAAAGAACAAAATTGGAATTCTATGATTAAGAAAGAATAGTAAAATTGTTTTTAGGCAACAGGATACACATATACACGTAGAATACTACAATTTATGTTACACATAAGTACCTAGAACTTTACAGTTCCTCGACAGATGCTTGTTGAAAAACTAAATGGATTTCCAAAGATAACACCAAGAATGTTAAGATATGTTTGTAATTTATAGAAAATATATTAAGAGAAAGTGAGTATGCATTTGTCATTTCGTTTTTCCTCACCTACAAATACACTCTTTTTTGCCTGGTCCTTAAAATGTAGCTAGCACCTTTAAATTTTTTCCTTTACCAGTTGATGAGACAGTTAAACTTTGTCAATAGAGAGCAAAAGAGATATTGCACAAGAGAAGGCTTTTCCTTCCTGGTTGGAGTGTGTGTGTGTGTCCCCACCTGGTTTCTACAACCAGGAGCAGCAACCGCACCCAGAGGCCAACGTTTTCCCTCCAATCATACCCTTCCCTTCCCCCAGAAACCTAGGACACTTCTGGGAAAAATTTCTAGCAAGATCCACCAAGACCCACCATAGAATGCTCTGTGTTGTACAGTGAGACCCAGCTGTACCTCCACTAAAGTCTTTGGGGAGCAGGGTCCTTCTTTGGGAGCACTATCTCCGCCACAGGGACATACCTGCTGCTAACGTCTTCTATTGGTGTTGTTTTAGCTCATTTAAGATGCCATAAGAAAATATCATAAACTTCATAAAAAACAGAATTTTATTTCTCAAAGTTCTAGAACCTGGGAAGTCCGGAATTGGGTAACTTACAGATTAAACACTGATAAATCCCTGTTTCCTGATTGATAGATGACTTTATTCTTTCTGTTTCTTTATATTGTGGAAGAAGTGAACAGATTCGGGAGGCCTCTTTTATAAAGGTACTAATCCCTTTAACAAGGACGTAGTCTTCATAACCTAATCACCTCCCCAAAAACCATACACCTAAATACCGTCACTTTAGGGGCTAAGAGATAAACATATGCATTTTGGGACAGTATAAACATTCAGACCTTAGCACTCGTATTCTTCAGAGTTACCTTTGCTTCTTTCCAGTCAATCCCTTATTATTCCATTCCTGTTATAGTTACAGCTCTACATGTCAAAACTTCCCTGTTCAAAAACAGTATAGTCTCTCTGCCTCTTGTGGTTTTGGACCTTAACAGACACAGAGAATAATAGCAAAAAAAAAATCGTAGGTTTCACTCTACACTCAGAAAAAAAATGATTGATACTAACAGTCTGATTTTACTTCCAGTTGAATACGTAATGATATACCAGCAGTTCTCAAATTTTTGAATCTCAGGACCAACTTCATACTCTTTAAAACAATGAAGAAACTTAAGGACCTCTTGCGTGTTTAAGACTGAGAAATTTTTCAACGTAAGAGTACACAGGTACATAGAAATAATTTCAGGTACCTATATACATAATAAGACTATACTTTGAGAACAAAAAATCTATTCTAATTCCATGTAACTAAATAACTAAATAATTTCAAATAACTAAATCCTGTGGGGAAAAATAAAGAAGATATGGTCTTTACCCTCTAAGAACTCAAATGATTCAAAATAAAGAATGTATATTCATG